TTGGCCCGTTTATTCGCGCGAAAAAACGGACCTCCCCGTTTTTTCGCGCGAAAAAACGGACCTCCCCGTATGTTCGCGCGTTTTTTCACCCCCGTATTATGGCACTTTTGGCTTTCCATACATGGTTTGCCCTTAAATTGGTGCGAAACTACGGACGAACATACGGGCGTATTATGGCACCTTTGGCTTTCCATACATGTCGTCCCCTCGGGCCACCTGTGCGTCAACAAATAATGTCCCCCTGACCAACGTATATTGCAACACCCCAACCATCAAAATACGGAGCGAAAAGTTTAAACACAAGAATCAAGACTATATGAGCCACCACTAAACGACTCACAGTCTGAAAATTACCATTTAAAAAATCCCTGGACGTTTACTTTTTGTTTTAAGCATCGTTTTAAGGTGTAAACGTTTCATTTTCAAATGCGCGTTCCTGTGACAAGGGGTGCATTTCACGCCGGGGGTGCATAATTTGGCACAACACCGGCAAAGGCACAGAAAAGGTTCGGAAATTATGACTGCACATAGTCCGCATGATTGATATCCGTACGATCTAAAGCCCCACGCTACGCCACTGCATATTGTATTTTAAAGTGCACATTTTAATTTAAACTTCTTAAATATATTTCTTCATTTAATTGTATCTTTTTATTTGTTGCACATTCTGAATGTAACTTTGTATATTATATCAATATTTCTATTCTGTTATTCTTTTATTTATATATGGAGCAACTGCCAATTTTCCCAGGATAAATAAAGTATTATGATTGTGAACTCTGACTCCTTTGTCTACAGTCTTGTTTTCTTCACCTGTGTAGAAGTACCAGCAGGTATTTTATTGCTACCTAATTTATAGAATGAAATTAGCCTACATTGTAAATCAGAGGCTGTACCTAGATTGCCTATATCTAAAAATGAAGATCCTTTACGTTTTGAACATGGACAAAATCACATATTTTACTGACACATTAAGCAGAGCATTACGTAGAGGAACAGAGATTGCTCACGCAGCTTCAGCTTCCTGAAACTCTCAGTATTGTGTCATTATAGCACCAGGGAGATAAATATCTCCTGCTGAGAAACCAGATACACTCCACATTCTGCTCTGCACACCCGTTTCTGCATCTTCAAAGTACAACATTATTTGGGAGAAAAACCCTGCAAACCAAACAATTGATAATTTATGGAATTGCATTTGACTCTAATCACATAATCTGTGCATTAGAAAATGCGCTGCAAGTGGATGGTATCCCGTAGGGCCTACTGAACTCCGGTTCTGATAAGACCCCAGGAACGACTCTTTTAATTCCTCTGACCTAGGTTTAGAAGTTAGGTTACGTCCCAAAATCACAGGCAAGACAACCTCGGTCTGCTTGAGGAAACTAATCCCAGGGTGGCTTAAAACACCAGCTGCCTTTATATCACTGTTCATATGGTGGCCGACCTGCAACAACAGCCCAAAACACTTACACAAACACTATAGGAGAAACGCGCTACACTTTCGAAAATGCCATGACGCACACAGCTGGGACATGAGCGCTTGGTGATGTTCAGGATTATAGAGCTGGACAACTGTCTCTGTTGGCATTGTCAGTATTTTTCATAACTGTAAGTGTTTTGACAGTATATTTAAAATGACTAGGTTAGCTACGTTAGCAAACTAGCTTATAGCAGATCTTTAATAATATCGGGAGGGATAATGTGATCACATTAATACAATTAGACGATAAAACATTTTAGGTGAGTTTCCAACAACAGTGAGAGTTGGCCAACTTTCAAAGTATCCAAACTGCTTCTGGAAGAGGAACCCTGTATCAAGTGGAGCCTCCCGGAGCATCAGATCCCAATCCCAATCCCTACCCTTAATTTAGAATGTCAATTAAACAATCTCAAATCTCAAAATCTCAAAATCTTCTTGTTGATACCACAAAAGTTCCCTCTTTTTCCTGTGAAGGTGATTGTTAAGCTTTCTGGCAGTTTGAGCTCGTAACCGTTCTGTGTCAAAACCACACAGACTTCCTGTTCAACAGATAGCGTGGAAATGTTTGCCATGCCTGCAACCTAAAATATGTAAATAGCCTGCATACAGTGTGAGGTGTAACCGAGATAAAAAGTTCCCTGTGTTCAAAGTTGAGTTCTGGTTTCCTTTTAAGCAATTTCCAAGTCATATTTTTATTTCCACTAAATCTTATTAAAGCTAATTCAATAATTTTGGTTTAATAGATTAAGTTTTAAGAGGCAGGATCTAGAGGTGAGGTCTGTCATGGCCGTTTAAACAGTGGACCTGCTAACAGTAGAACTGAGTCATCAAACATGATGTTTAGAGACAGGTTATAAAGACATCTGGAACAGCCCTGTGTTTCACTAAAGTATGTTTACTATTGGTGTTTTCAAACCAGCAGTGATAAGTAAATAATTCCCATTTATTTCTGCTTTGTACTGAAGTGCTTTTATCTGTAATTTACTCTTTTTTTCCCCCAATGACTTAGAGATTTCAGCTCAGAAGCTGCTGCTTCTTCAAGTCCCTATACCCCTAACCACAGATCCAATCCATATATAAAACAATCATGAGTTTCAGCCATATATGTATAAAAACAGTAGCCAGTTTATTATGTCTATGAAAATGTCCTGTCTAATACACAAGTCAGTAAGGATTCTGTTTGCCTTATCTGATCAAAATGGTCTGGACAAAATAACAGAAACACATATTTGTATCATGCAAAACAGTTTAACAGCAGCACAAAATGATCATAAAGACGAATGAACACACTCTTAAATGCTTTCATAAAAACGTAATATATATTAACCTGTGTATAATTATCTAACACTATAGTACAACACAGTATTTCCTTTAGACAGGCAGCCCTCTGCACTATAAGTGCATTCATTTGTGACTTGAACACATGAATACGGCGTATTAATTGTATTTTTACTGCGGTTTAGAATCACCGGCCCTTTTCACTGTTGCAGTTCCTTTTCCAGTTCCAGTTTCTCTATCAAACGTGCAATTAAGAGATGTGGCACGGTCACATGCACAGTGGAATTTCAATCCACTGCTAAGTAGGCTATATTAAAGGCTTCATTTGTAAGAGCGCCAAGGCAGGCCCACACACTGCCATGTCCTAACATGTATTGGACCGAACGTTTCCTGCACTGTACAGAACAATCAGCTCTGAAGCAAAAACAGTCACACACAGAAAGTGCAAAATATGGTCAGCACCAAGGCACATATAAAAAATACTTGATGCAATAGGCCCAGAGTAGCCTATTAAATGTGATGCAAACAGGAGCTTCAGCTGCAAAACAAACCGTTCTTCTGATATAATTCAGTCTGCAGATACAGTCTTCCAGAAGGTCATCAGATTGTCTCTGTGCCGTCGCCTTGGTGACCTGATGACTGGTACTGCTAGATAATAGACTTAATGTCCTGCCAATCATCATTCATCATACTTTGTTCCCGGAAATGTGGGAGTTCTGGCGGTGCAAGAAACACAGCCACTCACAGATTTGTATCTAGGGTGCGTCTAAAATCGGTCTGCGGTAACGCGCAGCTCCTGTCAGACCGGCCAGAGACATCCGGGCCCGGTTACTGACCCGGTGGATCCTCATTAGGAAGTCATCATTCCCCACGATGTAGATCAGCGGGTTTATGGCGCTGTTCAGACTAGCCAAGAATCTGCCCACTTGATGTGCGATGTAGATGTTTCGGAAACTGGCGCGGCAGTCCCCACTCTGTTTCAAAATTCTGATTTTCAGGTTAACATTCCGAAAGACATGGTAAGGGATGAAACAGACGGAGAACAGAATCACCAGAACCACCACCAGTTTCACACACCGCTGCTTCAGCACAGGGTTGACGTTAGATGATTTTTTGGCGAGAACCACAACAACGTGTCCGTAGCAGAGCAGAATGATCACCAGGGGGATGGCGAACCCTGTGACGGTCCAGCCGACGCTGTAGGGCAGGTATTTTTTGATCAGCTCGTCAGAGGTGGTGTCATAACACGAGTTTGTGGATGTTAGAACATTCTTGTCGAAAAACATATCAGGGAGGATCTGGATGATGACCAGCAGCCAGACCAGCGCGCTGACGGCCAGCGAGTGTCGGCTGCTGATCCTCCCCATCACCCGCATGGGGTGCACGATGCCCAGGTACCTGTAGATGCTGATGCAGGTGAGGAAGCCGATGCTGCCGTACAGGTTGAGGTTAAAGCAGAAGCGGGTCACCTTGCAGAAAGGCTGGCCGAACTCCCATTTGCTCTCGCGCATGTAATAGTGCACGAGGAAAGGCAGGGTGAACAGGTACAGAAGGTCCGCCACTCCCAGGTTGAACATGAAGATGTTAATGTTCCCGATGTTGTTCCAGCTGTTGCACAGGCTTCTTAGTCCCCAGATGTTGGACAGCGCTCCTACCAAGAACACCGTGACGAACGCGGACGGCAGGAAGGTGTGCGTAAAGTCCAGGTCGATGCGCTCGCAGGGGGGCGTCGTGTTGTTCCCAGACATCTCCTGAGTCCCCACTCGCGAAAGAATCTCCATATCATTCAACTTCAAGTTTTCCACTGGATAAAAACACAGCTGCCAGCCGGCTCTCGCAGAAACTTGTGCAAAACAAAACTGAAGTGAATTCGAAAGCAATAAGATGCCCGCCCACTTCCTCGGCAGGAGACGGTGTGATACACATGCAGACTAAACACAGATCACACACAATACCATCACCGACCTGCATTCCTGTGAACTGATTTACTCCAGCTGTTTTATATGAATAACACTTTATGAAAATGTCTCGTGCACTTACTATCAGAATATGAAAATGTCCTGCTTCAGGTTCGGCCCTGGAAGCACTCACACACTCCCTCCCTCTTGACAAACACTGATTATGCAATAACCTTAAAGTTGGATTGTTAAACATTAAAATCAAATGCAGATAAGCCAGGGCCAGATATTAAGATATTCATCCCAGGAAGGAAGTAATGTATTTGGTTAAACACACAATATGTATCTAATTTCCCATGAAATATATGTGAATCATTCCAGATCATTTTTATTTGGTTTTATTTGGTATTAATTATTTAATAATTATTTAAATATTCCAAAAATAATAATCTATTAAAAATTCAGCATAGTTCCTATTTAAAGACTCTTTTTTTAAAATAGCTTTCATGTCATGCACCCAAGTGACTCAAAATCAATGCAGCCTTGTAGTACCCCGACGTGTTGAACACATTTCTTTTGATTGGATTCCAGTGTTGATTTCATATTGAATTTTTTTTTCAATAGCTGTAATAATAATAATAATAATAATACATTACATCATTGTAATGCTGAGCTGAAGGAGGACACACCTCTTTCTTTATTGGTATATAGGGTTTTTAAAAAAATGTATTTTTTTATTAATAAGTCTAGTTTTTTTCAATAGCTTTCATTTCATATGACCTATTGACCTCAAATCAAAGCAGCATTCTAAAACAACACCTGGACAAGTAGAACTCACCTCTTTCAATGAAATCAAAAACCCATCCTAACATTTGCAAATGAATACCCAGATTGACTCACTTAGATACAGTATGTTGTGTATGCATTAGTGTGTGTAGCTGATGGAAACTATGAGATCACCGAGATGGAGAGTAAAGCAGAGCAAAGGGGAAATACAGTGCAGGGTGGATTTCTGTTCTGTTTGTGAACACACAACCCGAAGTGCATGATCTAATTATCATATATATTCAGGAACCTGTGGCTGCTAACGGTCATAGAGCAGACATCATGCAAATAGTACATGACAATATTAAGAAGCAGAGAAATGAAACAACCAGGGGAACGATTTGGATAGAAACAACTTTATAAATCTTATTACTTGTTGAGTTTCCATTTACAAAACATCCGGATACATTCTCACAGATACTTTCATATCTTGTTTTCCATCCTGATTTGAATACTTCCCTCATTTAAAACCCCGGTTAAACCATCATGTGTATATACAGAATACTCTGTTACAAGTTAAAGTCATGAATTGCAGATGTTACTCAAGTTAAAGGTAGAAAAGTAATAGCATCAAAAATATACTTAAAGTCTGATTTAAGAGTTGATTATAGTTCACATCATTAATTCAAATCTGTAAAGTAACTAAAGGCTTTCAATTAATGGAGTAGAAGTACAATATTTACCTCTGAATTGCAGCGGAGGAGAAGTACAAAGTAGCAAATATATTGAGATACTCATTTAAAGTACAAGTATCTTACATTTGTACTTAAGTACAGTATTTGAGTAAATGTACTTAGTTACTTTACTCCTCGGTGTGTGTTGAGTCCTTTTCCTCAGATGCAGCTCATAGCCAGGGCAGGGCAGTGCAGCCTGCGGTGGGGAGGGCGGCGGCGGCAGGGGGAGGGGCTGCAGGAGCAGGACTCGACAGGCGCGCCGTAATCATTTTAGAAGTGGGGGGGCAAAAAAAGTGTGTGTGTATGGCCCAATCCAAAACCACGCCCTACACCCTACCCCGACACACTCCCCCTCCGTGACGGAGTGAACTCCGTGGAGTGACACATGAGGCTCCCTCCTGTGAGATGGAGGGAGTAAATACAGCGGCAAGCTTTGGGACAAACTCTCCTCTCTCCGGCAGAAACAGGAAATGCCGTAACTGTATGTAACAACTGTTTCAAATCAGCATCTCTTTGACAAAAAATTAAAATTGAATAACTAAAATAAAACTCCAAACATCTTTCATTGTGTTCGTTTTTTGTTATGCTCTTTTAGTTTTAAACCTGATTTTTATAAGCTTCTTAGTTTTTGCAACAGTCAATATACATAACTTTATAACAAAATGCACACATTTACCTTTTTCTAGACTAAACACAGGTATACGATCCTAAGTTAAAAAAATACGAGGTTATAACATCGCAATTTATCAGCGGATGTTTGCTGGAAGTACTTGTAAACAGCGTGTTGCCTGACGGACACACACAGCGTGACTCCGGGCAGGTAGAGACCGGTCTCAAGTCAGCACCGCTGCAGACTCACTGTTTAAGAGCTTGATAGCCCACCCCGCTCCACACTCGTTGGTTTGGAACAGCCCTCAATATGGCGGACCCTCTGCGTGAACGCGCAAACGGAGGGGTAGGGTGTAGGGCTAGGGTGTAGGGGGCGGTTTGGGAATGGGCCTTAGTTTCCCCACAGCAGACGCACATTAATGACGTCCACTGACGCATCATAAATACGTTGGATAGTGAAAGTGCAGTCGGATTCTCAAAGCCCAGTCTCTGAGTGTTTATTGTCTAGACTTGCATAAACTTGATGGGAGAACAGATATCTCCACATGTCTTTCCTCAACACTTGAGGTCAACTATGGGTCATGCATCTGAAGATGAATCAGTAAACCAATTATAAAGCTGTTTAACCCTGTGTGACGTACACAAAGCCTCTTCTATTCTAAGGTGTCTCCCGCCTATATGCCTTTCCTCACAAGCCCCTTGGAAGATACAATATTAACACATATTTGCTGCAGTCAGGTGCCCACTCTGTTGTGGGCACTCCTTTAGAGTGTTTACCTCTAAAGGAGTTTGATCTTTTTCCAGTTTGTGTTCTTGGTATGAAATAATTATGTGATATCTGAGCAGCTGAGTGCCTTATATGCATGGCACTGGGAGCAGGTCAGGTGAGGATAGAATGCTTAAGGCTAATTACATAATATTAGTTTTCTAAATCGTTGCTGTGGAGTTACCAAATGCAGCACCCCAACTTCTCACTACAACCAACAATGCAAAAATACCCTGAAGGAAATCAAAATAATTACTTTTGTTTAAGAACTAGCTTTGAACTTGTCCTGCTTTTTTTAACACCATTTTTTTTAAAGCTAGCCTAATTTTTATCATTATAATTATTTAAATGTTCATACTTTTTCTCCACCATTTGCTCTTGATTTAGTTAAATTATTTTCCTTTATTTTTAAACTGCTTTATTTTTTCCGAGGATTATTTTTTGTTTTTCTTGGTAGGAATACAAAACTGCCTATACTTCACCAAGGAACATATTGAACTTTTGCCATCATTGTGTCAATTTTAACTTTGACATGAATCACAAACAGTTCCTCTTTTGGTATGTTCTTGGCATGTTTTCCATATTTATTTTCATGATTTTCTTTCAACTATATTGGACGCATCATCACATTTGTCTATGTACTGGAGTTCGCTTCCAAATGTACAAACTAGTGGATGTAGTGGAGGCTCCTTCAGTTACCTTTTTAAAAAATGTGGGGAAAAAAGGATTTATATCCTGAAATAGAAAATGTCTAGGCATTTCAAATAATAACCAACATAAGGTTGAAATAAAGGAACTTTACTTTAAACAATGATCAATGACTGGCTTGGATTCAGCCTAAACAGGTTAGATTGGGCAATTAAACAGAAAATAGTAGCAGGGAAAAAAGCTGGACCAGTCTTTGAAGCCAGCATGCCATCTGTGGTCAGGCAGGTGGCTGATTGATAGTTATGTGCTGAGGCTTGATGGGGCACAGGTGTGCAGGGAGGAGCAAGTGGAGGAAGTTCTGGGATGATTACAGAAGGCCTTGATATCAAAAGCAACATCAAATCCCAAGTTAAAAAGAAATGGCAGGACGAAGTCAATAGAAGTAAAAAAGAGGACATCATTTCAAGAATGAGATTTGGTCACAAAGGGCTATATAACGCATTATTCATTATGAAAAAACATGCAACAGGCAAATGTGAATATTGTTGTCATTATGAAACAGTGGAGCACATTTTTTTGCAATGTCCCAAATACCATCAAGAATGTATAATACTAAAGGAAGCACTGCCAGAAATCAAACATAATTAAATATAGTAGAGATTTTAAGAAGGAGTTCAGGGGATGTAGCATACAGGGCAGTATTTAGGTTTTTAAATAGGACGGGAATTGTAGTAATAATTTAGTTTAACACTGTGCTGCTGATCCACACTCCATTCCAGAAGGTGGCGGTAAATGCACCTGAAAGTTGTTTGCCAACCGCTATAAAACAATAGTAGAAGAAGAAGAAGAAGAAGAAGAAGACTACGGCCCATTCCCAAACCGCCCCCTACACCCTACCCCTCCGTTTGCGCGTTCACGCAGAGGGTCCGCCATATTGAGGGCTGTTCCAAACCAACGAGTGTGGAGCGGTGTGGAGGGGGAGTGGGCTATCAAGCCCTCAAACAGCGAGTCTGCAGCGGTGCTGATTTGAGACCGGTCTCTACCTGACCGGAGTCACGCTGTGTGTGTCCGTCAGGAAACACGCTGTTTACAAGTAGTTCCAGCAAACATCCACTGATAAACTGCGATGTTAACAACCTCATGATAACCTCATATATGTTTTAACTTAGGATCATACCTGTGTTTAGTCTAGAAAAAGGTAAATGTGTGCATTTTATTATAAAGTTGTGTATATTTACAGACTGTTGCAAAAACTAAGAAGCTTATAAACATCAGGTTTAAAACTAAAAAAGCTTTACAAAAAAGTAACACAATGAAATATGTTTGGAGTTTTATTTGAGTTATTAATTTACATTTTTTGTCAAAGAGATGCTGATTTGAAACCGTGGTTACATACAGTTACGGCATTTCCTGTTTCTGCCGGAGAGAGGGGAGGCCGTCCCAAAGCTTGCCGCTGTATTTACTCCCTCCATCTGACAGGAGGGAGCCTCGTTGAGCTGCGAGTGTGGCTACAGACGGAGTTCACTCCGTCACAGAGGGGTAGGGTCGAGGGAGTGGTTTGGGATTGGGCCTGAATATGTGTTTATATTTCTCGTGA